GGAGGGAGGGGAGAGAGAAGGAGAGAGAGGGGAGGGGAGGGCAGGGAAGGGTGACTCAACTTAAATATCCAACAAGAGGGTAAACTGGGGTATTGTGCTATGATTAAGAGAAGGATGCAGGGATTTGGGTTCAAATCCGCCTCTCCACTTACCAGCTGACTTAAACATGTTACATAGCATTTCTGAGCCTGATTCCGTATATATAAAATAAAACTAACCACATCTATTTTCAAGATTGTTTGGAGGACTAAATTAAATCAGAAGTAGTAAACTGCATGATAACAGGATTTGCATCTGTCAGAGTCCACCGTGAGTCCCCATACTGGCACAGGCTTGGGCTATTTATGGAACAAATGAACAAATAAAACTAGTCACAAAACGAAATGCTAGGGAGCTATGGAAATGATATTGTAAATAGATTTAATCACCTGGGAGGCTGATTGTGATATATTTGCCCAGTGAGAAAAGCTGTTTTCCAAGCCTTTGATTTATTACGATTTAATTTTATAACAAAATGATATGTCTAAAGATATACAGATATAAATATGGACATGACGTCAATCACTACAGGTATAATCTGTGGATAGCAAACAAGACCAGCACTGTGAAGAGAGGGCTTCTGTCTCGAAGGGGTGGGTATGAGTGGTTTTTATTTTTTTATTCTGCTATATCAAGCTTTTTTTCCAAATTTTAGATGATAAATATGTATGCCTTATGTGGTTTTAAATCAATAGAAGTTGTTTTTGAAGAAAAAAACATACAATTGTCTGAGCCTCAGTTTTTTCATTTGCAAGATAGGGATAATAATGGTCACCCAAACTTTATAAACAGTAGCTAAAATATAAAGTCAGAAACAAGAAACAGAATGCTTCCTTCATACCTCACTCTGCCATCTTTGTCACCCAGCTTCTCCCAGGATCCCTGAGTCATAAAAAGGGGATGCGAAGCACACAGGCTTTCTGCTCATGTCATCACTAAGTTGTGATGGGCAGAACGTTTGTGGCGGGTTCTGTCTTGATGCTAAACATTCCCTTTCTCAACTCCATAGGTACCATGGTCCCATTTGAAGATGAAGAAACTGAGCCTCAGAGAGGTGAGGGACTGCCATGTCCCACAGCCTGAAGTAATGACTGAGAATTTGAACTCTGGGACATCCAGTTCCCAAACCTCCAATGGAAGGGCTCAGGCCTCCCTAAATGGAGGCGGGGGTAGGAACTCACAGCACAGGCCACGGGCCGGAAGGAGGTGAGCCTCTCAGCGGGGTAGGCTGTGTTGCCGCTCCAGGCATCCCAGCATGGGTACTCACCCCGCTCCAGCACGTATTGCTGCCCTTGGAATCCGGCATGCTCAAAGCCCACCCACCTGTCGATAGACAGTAGAGAATACAAGAGGTAAGAGACCCCTTACCCTGAGTTCTCAACCAATGTTTATCATGCAGAGGTGACTTTGCCCCCCTGAGAGGCATTCCACCAAGTCTGGAGGCATTTTTATTTGTCCTACTGGGAGGAGGGAGAGGGAGTGTTTACAAATGGCATTTAGTGAATAGAGGCCAGGATATTGCTAAACATCCTCCAATACACAGGACAATCCTCATGAAGACAAAGAATTATCCAGCTCCAAATGTCAATCGTGCGGAGGTGGAGAAACCCAGTGTAGACCTAGCAACCCGCTGATTTGCTGTGTGTTCCACAGGTAGTGGAACTGTTTGTGCAGCTGACTGACAACCGAACATGTGTCCCTCTAAGCCAACGGTCCCCAACCTTTTTGGCATCTGGGACCGCCTGATGATCTGAGGTGGAGCTGAGGCAGTGATGCTAGCACTGGGGAGCGACTGCAAATACAGATAAAGCTTTGTTTGCTCCCTGCCGCTCACTTCCTGCTGTGCGACCTGATTCCTAACAGGCCACTGACCGGTATGAGTCCACTCCCCAGGGGTTTAGGACCCCTGCTCTAGGCCACATAGGCAAGACTCAACCCCAGGCTGACTTAAGCCTTGATGGCATCTGTCACAATTCTCTAGGAAAATGGGGAGACAGGCAGTTTTGTGAGGAGCTGCCACAAGCCATGTCTCATGTACCTCCTTCTTTTGAAGGAGGCTTCCATGAGGCAATTGCTCATCCATCTCTCTGGTTCCCGCGAAATATGGGACTTTCCCCTCATCACCCTGGAGGGTACAGCGCAAGCTATAACTGAAGCACGGAGTGGCTCCCCAACTGCAGGGGGCCTCCAGTCCTGCTGTCATCTGGTCCCTGTTGTTTTGGTGTCATCTGATGGGATAAGGGACACAAGAAGCTGACACCATGCTGACCTTGCACTTGCTGTCTATGTAAGCACAAGCCCTCACTTAACATTGTCGATAAAATCTTGAAACTGTGGTGAAACTACACATAATGAAAACGATTTTACCATAAGCTAATTAACATAAACAAGAGTTAAGTTCCTATGGCATCTCATCCACCTTGTAATGAAGGGACATTGAATAAAACAATGTTATTCAAAGACATGCACTGTCTGAATCTACCTGAGTTTGTTGACTCCTTACCTATCTGATCTATTGACCTGCTGTACATATCCCTGGACAAGTCACTGTCCCCATGTGAGCCCCAGCTCCTCATCTGTATGAAGCTAAAAGAGTATTTACCCTGGTGTGAGATGCATAAATATCACCCAAGATGACCTTGGTGGCACCCACAGGCATATAGCATGAGGTGACTCTAAATCACATGGAGAGAACATTGTTTTCCTTTTGATCTACTTTGGAACCTTCTAGAAACTTCTGTCCAATATTGCAGCTGCCGGCCACTTGTTGCTAATTAAATTGAACTTAAATTTAAGTTCAATTAAATTTAAAATTCAGTTCTTTAGTCACACTAGCTACATTTCAACCCCTCGGTGGTCATATGTGGTCACTGGTTTCAAAACGTAGTGTAGATGTAGAATATTTCCATCATTGCAGAAAGTTCTACTGAATGGTGCTGATCTAGAATGGGGTCCCCATCCCCTGGGCCATGGACCAGTATTGGTCCGTGGCCTGTTAGGAACTGGGCTACACAGCAGGAGATGAGCAGCAGGCCAGTGAGCAAGCCTTCATCTGTATGTGCAGCTGCTCCCCAGCATTAGCATCGCCACCTCAGCTCTACCTCAGATCATCAGGCATTAGATTCTCCTAGGAGCACCGGTCCCTGGTGCCAAAAAGGTTGGGGACCACTGATCTAGAAAGTTTCAGTATGGTATTGGTGTGTCCTTAACACTCTCTACATTTTATTACTGTCTCTTCTAAAAAAATAAAAATACCTCATGCTCAGAGCTTCAATCAAGCAACAATGTTCAACTAGAGATTAATAGCATTACTTTTGACTATATTTTTATAGTTACCTTTGCCTTTTGACAAGTGATTTTGGCTTTCAATTTGTGCGTAAGAGGGGTATTTCAGACCCAGTACTCGATTCTAAATCTGTTCCTGCAGGATCTGTGTGAATGATGCCCCCTATGTTTGGTCAGGGCACGACCTGCATAACCTCACACCGCCGCCCTGCACACTGCCTGGCACTTCAGACCCATGGGAAGTGAGAGCCTAGGAAGATGGGGCCTCAAACATCTAAAAGTCTCAGCACCCCTTTCTAGATCCCCTCCTGTCTCCCCCACCCCCACTGAGGTTCCACTCCCCAGACTCACGCTCCGCTCAGCACTTTCAAAGATCGCACAGTCTCAAAGCCAAGTTCCAGCACGCTGGGGCACTCAGCGGTGAACTCATGCCGCCGGCCCTGGAAGCCCTCCTCGTCCCACACTACAATCTATGACAGGAAGAAAAGGTGGAGACCTGCATCAGAACCCTGTGGGAGGTGAACCCTTAGGGGCTCACCCCTGGACGCAGGGTTAGAGGGTGGAGCAGGTAAAGCAGGGATGGCAAACTCGGATGCCTCCAGGGGCTGGGCAGGGTGAGGGCTGGGGGCAACTGGAGAGCACAGGGCCAGTGTAAATGAGTACCTCTGCTCAGCATCACCTATTGTCGTCATGTGGGAATGCTGGCCGACTTTCTGATTTCTCAAGACTGTCACTAAATCTGGACTTTTCTATGGACCCTCCGGTTTTCAAAAGCTGATGACGACACATGCACAGGAGGTCAAAGAAATCATGCCCAAAGACTGTGCAATCACCAGTTTGCCATCTCTGCCAGAGAGTGTAATGATTGAATTTGGGGACCAGAAGATCCAAGTTCAAACCAAGACCCCTGTGTGTGAACTTGGGCAAACCTCTTCCCCTCTATGAGTCTCGATTGCATCCTCTATAAAATGGGCCCTCATAACCCCCCAGAGGTGAGGTGGGGATTCGGTGGAGGTGGGGATTGGGGGGCGGGGTCCCCTGGAGCTTGGTTTGACCTGCACACCTTCACTTCTGAAACAACCCCCATGCCTCTTCCTACCTTCCAGTGTCCCGCCGACTTGGTGCATTGCAAGGCCATGTCGCCCTCTTCCTACACAAGAGAAGAACATGATAACCTTAGCCCTGACTCTGCTCTCCCCTTTGATACTGAAGTCTGGTTTAGGCAGGGTCAGGATCCAGATGGGGGCCAGATGTGTCTGGGCTAGGAGCAAAGTGCAGCTGTGGCCTCTCCATTTCCTTCCCTTTCCATCTGTGACCAATGCCATCTCTTTTGCTTCTTTCCTGTCACCATCTCAAAATTCACCTATTCTGGGTCTCATTGCCTCTGAGTCCCACTTTCTGCTGGTTTATCTGCTCATCATTAGTGGGTGGATGTACCACCCTGGCAAGTGCCTAGGTGCTCGGCTTAAGAGAGAGACCCCAAAACAGCACCTGACCCAATGAGGTGACTCTAACGGTAGAAACTGAGGCAACAGGACCTCAGGAATAATTTCGGTTTGAAGTGAAGGCAGCAGGTACTGTTCTTGGAGCCTGGCCCGGGTTAGGATGAAGATAATATTCAGGATGACACAGTGATGTCCCGATGATTAGGGACCTGGGCTCCCTGCCTCCCAGGATGCTCACTCAGAGCTCAGATCCCACCCCTTCTCCCAGCCTGAGACTTACCGCGATAGACCCAGAGAACATGCCAGACCTGGGACCAGCTGAGGTTAGGCTCTTATAGGCATGGAGGGGAGCGGGCCTCTGGGAGACAAAGCCCCGACTCAGCAAGTGAGCAGCAGGAACAAAAGGCAGCCCCAGCTGAAGCCCCAATGGAGAGGTGTCAGCACCATTGGCTTCAGCTGAGAGGGAAAGGGGCATATGACCTCCCTCAGGGATCAGCCACGAAGGTGAGAGGAGGAAGGTCTGCCATAATCAGCTCCATGGGACCCCTGATTGTAGCAGGAGAATGAGCACTGGACAAGGAGTCAAAAAACCTGGTCCTTCTCTGCAGTGTGACCTGCAGAAAGTCATTTCTTCTCAGTTTCTGCCTGTAAAATGGGACAAGAATAAACTACATCCCTGGGATGTTGTGATATTACGTTACATGCCTGATATTCAACAAACGTCTATGCTTTTCTCCTTTCTACACCCCTTCCTCTTCCAGCAGGGGCAATCAAGGCAGGCTTCCTGTTGGAGATGGCATTTAAATTAGACTCTGAAGGGCTAAGAGGATTTGTACAAGGTGATATGGAAGGAAAAGCTTTTTCTAAGCAAAAGTGTAGAGGTGAGAACTTGGGACACGTGTATGAGAAAGAGTGAGTAGCCCTATTGGGCTGGATCTCAGGGACCCTAAAGGGGAGCAGAGGGAGCCAGGCAGGAAAGGTGGGGCTGGGCCAGGGCCTCCAGGGCCCACAAAGCCCAAAGAGGATTCCAGATGGCTCTGTGGGCAGAATAAAGGAGCTGGTGGGTGTGAATATGCTTCACAAATTGTAGCCAAGGTTTGTAGAATTTGCTTTGTGTAGCCTCTTCCCACGCTCCCACCCTCTGATTTGACCTAAAACGGGCCTCTCATTGCTTAGGAAAGAGCATGGCAGGAGACCAGACCACTCTGGGTGAAATCCAGTCCTGTCTCTGAACAGCTGGGTGACCCAGAGGTTGTCTGATCTCAGCTCATGGCCTGTAAAGTGCCAATATTTATCCCACTGGGAGGGTTAAAATCAGCCCTATCGAATACGTGACTTTGACGAAGGGTCGCCTTGAAGATGAAGAGCTAAGAATGTAGTCTGGATTTACACCCCACTCTTGCTGGCTAGGTAACCTCGAGCATGTTACTTCACCTCTCTAAGCCTCAGTTTCCTCATGTGTAAAATGAGTACAACAAGATAAATTGGGTTTAGCCTAAGAGATAAGGGTATAGTGAGGGGGAATGTAAATTACATGTGAACGGCAGTTGGCACTGCTCCTGGAGCATAAAAAAAATATGCGCCTCCATCATCACCGTTCTCATCATTGCGAATAAAAATGATTGCTATTCATATAAAAGCAGGAGTATATAGTTTTAGGTGCTTGGGTTCAGGAGTTAAAAAGATGTGACTTCCCAATTCCATTTTACAAATGAGAAAACAGGCTGAGAAAGGGTCAAGGGAGCTGCCTCAACTTTCTCATCTGTAAATGGGGTTAATCCCAGAGACTCTTGTCATAGAGAGGAGTACAGGAGCCTAGTCAATAAAATGCTCAGAGTGGAGCTGCCCAGCATAGGGGACCATCCCTTACCTCCGCCCCCACCCTTTGGTAGGTTGCCACGAGGGACACAGAACTGTCTCAGACAGCCTGACCTTAAAGCCAGACCTGTGGTGACCCCCAACACCCACCAAATACCAACCACTGTGTCTTGGTCCTGGTTCCCATGGCTGCCTCATCCTGTGGTTCCTGCCCCCGTCCCAGGCCTTGGCCCACAATGAAAGCTAAGGAGGAGATGGGAAGTGAGGGGGGTGCTAGGTGGGGCTGGAGGGGCAGGAGGCAGAGCTGTCCCTAGGCCACGGTGATCTCAAGGCAGAGCTGGGTTCTTGGGGATGTCTGGCTCCCTGGACCCCTGCAGAAGAGGCAGGAACCTGTGCAGAACCCCCACCCCGACCCCGAAGACTGCCTGGGGCTAGAGAGTCACACTACAGGCTAACCTGGCTCTGCAGTTCCCCTGGGTCCTTCCAGCCTTGGCTCTACTGTGAGTTCACACTATGTGACCTTGTTTAAGTCACTTGTCCCACCCGGGCTTCGGTTTCTACATTTATAAAATGAGGAAGCGGGACGATATGACTTCTGGCATCTGTTCCCTTGTTCTAAGTCTTCACTGCTCTATTGCGTCTGTCTCTCTGGCTCTCCCTCTCTCTTTCCTTCACTGTCCAGTTCCCTTCCCGACCCTTGTATTTCTGTCTCCTTCATCTCTTTCTCTGCCGCTCTCCACTTTTCCAAATCAATGTTCCCTTTTCTCTCTCCCCATCTCAGTTTCTCTATCTCCCCCTGTATCCCACCTTCCGTTATAATCCACTGCTGTGACCATTTAGTCCCTCAAATTGATTAAGGGCCCAGGAGTGAACAAGTTGTGGTGACATTCGGGGCCTCCCAGAGGAAGCACTGAGAAGGGCAGACATATTTCTAGCCACCAGTTCTGTCCCTGGGGTCAGATACAGACAGACCGAGAAGAAGTCGGGGGAGAATCTGGGCCCAACCTGGTCAGAGGAACAGAACCAAGGCCTTAAATATTCAAACCACTGAGCACAGGGAGCTCCCCCATCCCTACTCCTATATCTAGAAATAGGGAGTCAAGCCAGGGCCAAGGTAGGACCTTACTGCACCCCAGCTTTACTCATCTGTGAAATGGATATAATAGAAGTACAAAAAAAGTTGGATTTCCTGGGGTTTGGCCGAGATGGTGTGAGTAACCCATTTGGTGCTGAGCTTAGCACCCAATGAGCATGCAGTAAGTAGGGCTATGGATATTGGACCCACATCTGCCCTTACAAAGCATTTCCCATCTCCCGTGGTCCTCATCACCATCTTTCCTGTGCAGCATCCAACAGGGACACTTGTGCCTGCTTGTAACAGCAGTGGCAGAGGTCCTGAAGAACAGAGACCTGCCAAAAGCCACAGAGCACAAAGCCTCCTAAATCCAGGTCTCCCACCTCCTTGGGGCTCCCTTTTTTCCTGCCCCAGGATTGGCAGCCAGCAGGGACCCCATGGGCCTACCCTGGCTGGGGTTTTAGAGAGAGGCATCATAGGAACCAGGTGAAGTCCCTGCTGATCAGGGTTTCTGCTGTGCATGCCGGGCTCACAATGGAAAATGCTGCTCTCTGCAGTAACCCAAGAGAGGTTGGGGCCTCAGGCCCCCAACCCCATGCCTGGGGCTTGCTGAGCCAGCTCCCTCTTTGTGCCACAGAGCATAGGGCTTGGTGTCTGCCAGACTATAAAATGGGGGGTCGGCCCCTAGTCACCCACAGCACTCACCCGCCCGCCTGCTTATCCTCCAGCAGGAAGTAGCAGGTCCCCAGGTAAGAGACACCCCTCCATGCTGCTGAGAGCCAAAGGGGAGGGGAAAGAAGAGGGAAGGCAGAGAAAGGGGGAGGCAGAGAGAGAGCAGTTACAGAACAGAGAGAGACAGGGCAATTAAAGATGGAGGAGTCAAAAAGAGGGAGGGAAGAGAAGAGAGAAGAAAAGAATAATAAAGAACAGATAGAAAGGATAGGCAGAGATATAAAGAGAGCGAGAAACGGGAGAAGGGGGTGGGAGGAAGAGAGAGGGAAGGGAGGAAGAACAGATAGAAAGGATAGGCAGAGATATAAAGAGAGTGAGAAACAGGAGAAGGGGGCGGGAGGAAGAGAGAGGGAAGGGAGAGAGGAGAGAGAGAAAGAGAGGGAGAGAGAGAAAGAGAGAGAGAGAGAGCGAGAGAGAGAGAGAGAGAAGCAAAATAAAAAAAG